TACGGAAGCTCCAGTGCTCATAATACTTCTCAATAGAGAAGACATTCATAGGATCCACAGATGTAGGAGATGGTGTAGTGGAAGAGGGTAGCACAAGGGTAGTTGGTTGGTGAGTTCCCACTCCACCACCAACTACTCTCCCTTGCTCTCCAGCCTCTCCACTCTCAGACATTCCATCATTAGCACCTCTGGAGTCCGTCTCAGCCATCACAAGGCCTTAGGCACGGTGGAATCTTGAAGAAAACGATTGGACAGAATTCTGCCAGAAATTTCGCTTTTACGAAAAACGCCGTCGCGGTTGGCACACTTTGGATTTGGACACGATTCGACCACCAATCGAAAGATCGTGAGCAGAGCTACAATCAAAAGGTCTCACTTGTCAAAATTGGTTGAGAAACGATGACGATTCATCGCTTCAAAGTCGATCACCAGCTCTGATACCACTTGTTGCTTAGGATCCGGTCACTTTGAAGACTTACGACGAACTCAAATCTCAATTAATACCAAATCCGCTTGGCAGGATTGCGCGCTGTGGTCTTAGCTACCATTAGCAAGTTGAAGCACTTGATTTCATGGTCTAGAGAGTGAGAACCAACTGAAAACGTATAGCTGCTGCTTTCACTAGAAATGATGGAGGAAGAACAAACATTAGGCATAGAATGAGAAGTTGGGGGGTTTCAAGAGAACCTTGTGAGGGAAGGCTCTCCAAATGCTTGGGAAGGATGGTGGGAACCTTCCTAGCATCAAAGATGCAACCCTCATGATGAGGTCTTTGTGGTGTCACATGCAAAATCCAATCCAATTGGATTTTGCCTAGGTGTTACAACATTTGCAACCCATGCTAGAAACTTCTAGCCATCCCAATCCAAAAGTCAAAGTTGCCTTCCTAACCACCAAACCAAAGATCCCTTTATAGTCATGTCCCAATAATCGCCCAATTTAGTTAATATCCCAAATCAAGATAGAATTCCCAAATCTTGGAAATCTTGTAACTTGGGCGATCTTGGTCGGAATAAGGCAATCTTGGTATCGTTGGAAAGCTCTGAATTTCTCCTGTGCGTTCAAGCATTTAGACTTGGAGAAAAACACAGAGGTGATAAAATCCAACAGCCATGCATAATGATTTATGCTCATACAAATGACGCAAGCATGAATTGCACGAGCACACGGCAGGACGTTAGGATGACATGCACACAGACTGACGTGCATACAACACAATCGGCTCATCCGATTGCGCAGGTGCATTTGCAGGTGCTGGTGCGGGTGCATTCGCCGTTGACTGCTGGCCGGCGGAGTCACGTTCCGCCGTGAGCGCCGGAATCTCGAGCATCGAATCTTCTAGTTGGCGCACGAGACGGTCGAGCTGCTTCTGCGTCAACGTCGCGATGTTGAATTCGGCCATGGCGGGGTTGTTGGGCAAGCTCAGCGAGAGGCTCTGTCGTGGCCGTGCGTGCCTACGAGAGAGCACTTCGAGTCGCGGTGCTTGTTTCACTGAGAGACGTCTACCCCCCCAAAAAAATTCAGATAGTGGGGAAGCAAAGGTGTGGGTGCGGTCCGAGAAGAGATCGTAGGCTCTGAATACCAAGTGTTACGGGTGCAATTGAGTGAGCGAGCGAGAATTGCACTATCGAAGCAAGAGTACAATGAGCGAAGGTATGAGCGAAGAATATATAGCGAAACTACAGTGGTAACGGTAATGTGTGAAAATGGGGTGCGCGATGGGCCTGGCGCCGAGGTTGGGAAATGTCGAGGCGAAGGTCCGGAGCGCGGGCTACCAACCAAACCGTGAGGTTGGGTCGCGGCGTGAACAGTGGCGGAAACAGTAGTCGAGGCGGGTGGTAAAATTTTACTGCTGGGTGCTGGTGGCGAGAACAGTGGTGTACGCGCTGAGCAGGGACGCGAAGTAAGGAAAAGGGATTTTCCTTGCAGTAGTTCAGGTAGAATGGCAACTAGCAACTATTGGGTCGTGGCTGATGGAGAATTGTTGTATGCAAATTTGATGAGCGATATTTGCTATTCCTACATGGTTGGGTCGTCGCACGTTGCTTGGATTATGCACTATGGTCTGGTTTGTCCGTTCCGTGTGTCCGTCGTTTTCGGGGTGGTATGATGAACTGAACAGTAGTCGCATGCCGAACTGCTGCCACAAGTTCCTCTAGAAGTTGTTGGTGAATTTCGTGTCGCGGTCGCTCATGATTGCCATTGGTATCCCGTGCAGCTGAACGACGGTGGAGATGAAGAGGTGAGCTGTTTCTTCGGCTGTGATTGATTTTTTGCAGGCTGCAAAATATGCCATCATCTTCTGCCGATCGACGACGACCAAGATTGAGTCGTTCCCACTTGCTCCAGCTGGTAACCCCATGACGAAGTCCATCGTCACCTGCTGCCAAGCACGCTCTGGGGGTGGTATCGGCTCCAACTGTCCTGCCGGCTGTTTCCGTGATGATTTTATGAGTTGGAAGGTGGGACACGATGCCACGTGTCGTTGCATGTCGGTCAAAATCTCGGGCGTTGCAGATGCTGCCATGGTTTTTCTACTTTGAAATGGCCTGAGGTAACCCCGTCGTGTGCCTCTTGTAGTAACATCTCCCTTAGTAAAGTGTAGCCCGGTACCTAGATGCGACGAGTGCCAGCTTTTACGTAATAAACCCCTTTTGCTGCGAATTGCTTCGAGTTACCTCCGGTAGAGAATGGGTCTGGTTGGTAGCCGTGGGTAGATAATCCTGTAAGCAGTGGGCTGGTCTGGGCGAGTAGTATGTGTGAAAGAACGAGGAATGTGAAGAAAAGGAGGGGTTTCACTAGCAGTAGTTGGGATACATCTAGCAAACCCTAACAGGGTTGTACTCGCTATAGAGCACCCCACTACAGGCTAGATAATAACATTCTGACACACCCCCATAGCCAAAGTGGGGTGTAATCAGCACAATGAGCAAGAGTTTACAATAATAAGCAAAGCTAGAGGTAATCACAGCGGGCAAGTGAGGAGGAGGAGGAACTGTGGAAGGAGAGAAGATGGGAGGCAACGACTGAAGCTGCAGAGGCACGGGCACAGGAGCGGCTGACTCAGTGGCTACCGAAGCAAGGGCGACGGACTACTGGAGTGACTGGCTCCGCGGCTAAGACGAGCGGCAGGAGCAACGGACCCACTGGCGACTGGTGCAACAGGCTCACTGGCTACCGAAGCAAGGGCGACGGACTACAGGCGCTGCAGGCGACACGACAGCTACCTCCACACAACCTCCTCCAACTGACCCACACCCTTGACACACACCCTAACTGCTTCACCCCTAACTCCAATCCCATGTCACCCCCTCGTACCACTCCGACGGCTCCAACACAACACATCCACCCCCCTCAGCGGCAGCTGCAGCACTGGGAGACGGAGGAGGAGGAGGAGCAGGGGACGGCGCACAGAAACTGCACCCCCATACCCCCCACCCCCAAACCCTAATTCAGGAGAACGGGCAGCATCAGGGGTGGGGCGCCGTCAGAAGCACGGGGGACAGCGGGCAGCTCAGGGGCAGAGAAGAACGGGCCGCCCACGGGCCTGGCACAGCCAGACGAACCGCGCGCAGGCGGCCCGAGCCGCGCGCGGGCCTGGCGCAGCCCGTACGGGCCGCGCGCGGGCCGGGCGCAGCCCGTACGGGCCGCGCTCGGGGCTAGCGCAGCCCGCGCTGACCAGGACGGGCGACCGGGGACGACGGGCTGGTCCCCGTCGCCCGTCGAAGCGCCCCCCGGGGGTGACGCGCGGACCGACGGGGCAGAAAGCCGCCGCGCGCCTCGGGGCGCACGGCGGGCAGAGAACCGACGCACGCCCCGGGGCGCACGGCGGGCAGAAAACCGCCGCGCGCCTCGGGGCGCACGGCGGGCAGAAAACCGCCGCACGCTCCGAGCACGCGGCGGGAAGAAAAATCCGTCGCACGCCACGGGGCGTGCAACACACAGAGTAGCAGTGGCAGTGGAAGCAGTGAGGTGGTGGGCCCATACACAGGAACGACCCAGGAGGGTCGACCTGCTCTGATACCATGTGAAAGAACGAGGAATGTGAAGAAAAGGAGGGGTTTCACTAGCAGTAGTTGGGATACATATAGCAAACCCTAACATGGTTGTACTCGCTATAGAGCACCCCACTACAGGCTAGATAATAACATTCTGACAGTATGGCGTGAAGTTGGGTAGTGGGGCGGGTCAGTGCGGCCGCGATGTTTGATGCCCCCTTTTTGTAGGTGACCATGTAGTGAAAATTCGACTCGAGGAAGTCGAGCCAACGAACCTGTCGTGGGTTGGGGTGGGGCTGTGCGCGGATGTACTGTATTGATTTATGATATGTCCGTACTGTAACGTCTGCGGCGGTGAAGTAACAACACCACACTTTGAACGCGTGCACGATCGCGAGCACTTCGTGGTCGTGTATCGGGTAGTATTTCTCGAGCGGATGTAGTTTACGTGACTCGTATGCGATGGGCTGAAGGCCGTTGCCGAAATCCTGTAGCAGTACGGTTTCGATGGCGATGTCGCTTGCGTCTGTAACTACTTCGAAGGGGCGGTGTGGGTCAGCGATGCGCAGTACGGGTGTTGAACAGAGAACATTTTTCAGGGAAGAGAAGGTAGTATGCTCTTTCTCCCCCCCACGTAAACGCCACTCCTTTCCTCAGTAAATCTGTCAGTGGGGCTATTAACAGGGCTGACGTCTCGTTTTAGGCCTCCCTGATTCCAGGAAAAATTTCCCCCCTCTATTATGATGGCACATTTTTCATAAGGTAGCTACTCTGATAACTCAGTGTCAAACAAAGTCCTACTCTGGTCCATCAGGGTTCACAGCTCAAAATCAAGGTTGCTATTAACATTGCACTACACTTCAAAATGAGTGATACAACAGCTTGAACTTTCCTACACTATCTAGTGCACGGGTTTGTCAATGAAGTACACCTCCTCTACGTCCTCACCGTCCGGCAGGAAAGGGTTGTCCTCCTCCCCTCCTGATCATCGCCCAGGTTCTGTTACACTTCATCGTCCTCCTCCTCCTTCCCCTCGTCCTCGTTCTCCCTGGCAGTTCCAGTAGCCACATCTTCATCCTCCTTCTGCTTCCCCTTCCTCTCCCTCTCTGCCATGGCCAGCTTCAGGCTCTTCACAGGGCGCCTCCTCCGCATGGACCTGGACCTCCACACCTCTAGTGCCTCCGTCCAGTCAATCTCGTACTTCAGGAGCGATATCTGCATCAGCTCCCCCAGACGCGCGTTGCAGAGCGCTCCTCGCTCCCAGGACTTGATGATGTTCTGCCTGGAGAACCCCCTCTCGCACTCCACGGTGGAGAGGGGAAGCACAGCCAGCGCTTGCCACAGCAGGATGAGGTTGGGCCATCTCCTGCCAGACACATTCGAAACACAACAGATCAGGAAAAAAATATCAACAACTTAGAACATCAACAAGTTATAATTCAACAAGTTAATAATCACCAAGTAAAAAACCAGCAAGTCAAAAATCAAGAAGATGAAAATCTCGTACGCAAGCAGTGGACTACCTCTTTGAGTCGACGCTTCGAAGAAAGTTGTACAGGCCCTGGGAGAAGCTCTCCATCTCATGGTGTGTCTCCATGATCGCGCAGAATGTCGAGAGCTCCCTCTCTGCTGCTTTGAGGTCGAATCCCGGCAGCTTGTGGCGGAAGAGCCTGCTGCATCCGTGCAGCCACTCCTTGCACTTCTTCTCTTGCTGGGCCTTGATCTTCGACCACTTCCCCGCCCGGAACAACTTCGTCGGGCCCAGCTTCCCGAGGTTATCTAGCCGGTCGCTGAGGTTGTCCACGCAGTCGCGGGCGAATTGGCGGCACAGCTTCACGCAGTCTCCGTAGGTACTTCCCTGCTTGTGGCCCTTCAGCTTCCTCTCATGCATGGTGTAGAGGTGGTTGAGTGGGCGTCCCTCTCCGCCCACGCCTCGAACCCGGACCTGCTTGCCTCCACCCTCCTTGTGGACCTTGAGGAAGTTTACCAGCCAGCTCTTCCCCTCGCCCCCGAACGGTTTGGTTGTCGTCAAGTAGCGCTCCGTCAGATCACCCGTGGTGGACTCAATAGTCTTCGCAATCTCAGTCACATCCAGCTGTCACAGCAGCAATCGACAACAGGGAGTAGGATTAGCAACAGTGTAGGATTGCACTTCTCGTCCCAACAACATACTAGCATTCAACCTCACCTCACGTCTCTGGAAGCAGCGGTTGAGGTCGTTCATGTCGGCCAGAATGTCGGCCAAGAATAAACAGAACTGGAACTTGTAGCACGTCACAATCCCGTAGGCCTTGTGGTTGTGCTCCCAGAGCAGCACGATACAAGCGCCGAGGACCTTGCACAGCCTGCGCACCGCATCACCTCGTGACAGCCACCGAACCGTGTGGACCATGCCACTGTGCGCACCACCTTGTCGACCATGCCAAGGTTCTCGTTAGACTCAGCGGCATCCTTCACAGCCAACGCCTCACTGTAGGATGCAGGGAATACAAATCAAGAAGTATTGGGTATTTCATAAACGTAGAAAACCTGACCTTCTACAAAACTTGATACATACCGGCGTGCGATGCAGAGGCATGAAAACAGGTGAGGAACGTGTTCCCGAAGACGCGCCACCAATCCCCTTTCTTTCCCGGTCATGACCGACGCCCCATCCGTGCTGATGCCGACGATCTTGGACACATCGACGGCTGTGGAGCGAAGATGGTTCATAAGCACCTCAAACAGAGACCCTGCATCACACTGCTCAACCGTCAGCAAGATAAAGAAATCGCATGCAATTTGGCGATTCTTAAAAAACGTAAGGTACACAATTATGTGTTTCCCTCGCGTTCGATCGGTGCTCTCGTCGCACTGGATGCCCAGGAAGGGGGATGTCAGGATGTGGTCCATCTGCACTCGAGTGAGGTATGTACTGATGCTGTGAACCATCTGCTAGAAACCGTATCTGCAAAGTGGAGAATGAAATGGTCAGGAACTTAAAAAAAAAAACGACAACCAACAAATGTCACGCTGCAATCTAACGGTAAGATTAATTACCGTGTCAGATACGCGCTGTATGATTGTCAAGGAATGTCTGGCGTGTTCTACTCCGCAAGATGCCGCATCAGCTTTGGAAACATGCTAATCGGCGCGTCGCACTGGCACAGGAACTGCGTAGACCGCATGAGTCGAATCGCGCGCCGCCCCTCGACATCGGAGTTGATGAAGTCCGAAATCACCTGCTGGCCCTCGCAGATGCCCGCCGCAAGCTTCAACTGCCGATCAACCGCCGCCTTGTGTGCGTCCGAATGCTCGTGCGCCCTGAACGACTGCGTCTACAAGTCACGGCCACCGCCGTCACCTTGCATGGCGTACCTCGTGTTCCCCTTCGCGTACGACATGCAGATGGAGCACTTCACGTAGGGAAAACCGTCCTTGTTCTTCCCAAACACCAGCCAGGAAAAGCGATCCGACCACTTCGTCTCGTAGTTAATACTCGCCTCCAGGTACACTTGCTCTTGCAGCTACATCTTGGTGAGTGCTGGCGAGCCGGTATTCGCGTGCATAGGGATGTCAACTTCATCCGGCTGCTCAGCTTCTTTCGGTGGAGGATCTGCCGGCTTGTTATTGTCAGGCGGTGGAATACGGCAGCCTCCGACGACCAGAGTACTCTGCGCCCACTTCCCATTTCGCGCTCGCTTGGGAGTGGAAGAAGCCGATGGCGGGCCAACAGACACACGCACCGTGCTTGGAGTGGGGCTGTGCGAGGGTGGTGGGGGATCTTTCCTGCAAGAAGCAACAGCCGGGGGTAGAGTGAAGGCGACTGGACGTGGAGAATCAGAAGGAGTAGGGGTTACTCTAGCTGCAGAGTCATGAACCGTAGACCTAGGAGGTTTTGGTGTGATCGGAGCACCGGTAGCTCTAAGAAAATCGAGCCCAGACCAGGGAGCATCTGATGCTTTCTCCGGCAGGGCTGGCGCTGTCGGTTTTGCCGGTAGAGGTGGCTCATCAGGGCCAGTCTGAGGAGCAGCTTTGTCGGCCGGCAGGGCCTCCATGGCGGCGAACTAGAGAAAAGATGGAGCGAGAGGAAGGTATGAGACTGAACGCACGAAATGGAAGGAAAAGCAGGAAGCGAAGGAAGCCTGGCTGTGGGTAGGGGGAAGGAATGGAAGGTTGGAGATGGCGGGGTCATCACGAAACCACCGCGGCACAGCGCCACAAGGTTGATGGCAGCATTCGTCAGTAAATTCGGCCATAAATGCAAGGCCGAATTCATTCAAGGACTGCTGGACGGACACTGCATACTGTCAACATGCTGTTCTGGCCAATAGCAGAGGCATGCTGTGCACTGCGCGGTGCGCGTGGCAGCAACGTATCATTGATTTGGGTGCGTTGTCACTGTTGACAGCTGTGCTGTACAGCACGGTGTTAGAATTCGTTGTCGGTATTACGTCAGTCCTGGGCGTGAACGGGGTACCTCACATGGGGGCACGCGAAGTAATGATTACGCACAATGGGGGGGTTATCGAAAGGAAATTGCAGGGACCACAAGTTGAGAAGACTGTAATCACCCTGAAATCAGGGTAATTACCCTGATAAAATCAGCCCTGGCTGGCTGTTAAGCGCGCCATGTTGGGGACGAACCAACGGACGTAATTAACTGTGAGAGTACGACGGCTTTGCTAGACTTAACTTGCTGGATACTACTTTATTACGCATTTTCTAGCTTAGCTTTGCTTTATTTTGCTTGCTTTTGCTAGATTTCCTAGGTTCGTTGCTTTTACTATATTTATTATAGTTATAGGCACCGAACTAGGTAAAGTGCAGCGAGTTCTAGGCTTTTTAGTTGCCACCGAGTTGCCTTCTACCGAATTCAAAATGACTCGTTCGGGACGCTTCGCGACTCGTGGAACATTGTAGTAACACCCGGGTTACTGCCTTTGTGTCGAGCTTATATACAACCTCGCCTTGTACCCAGGTGAAGCATTCAATAAAAATTTCTTTCCTGCATCAGAGCCTCACAGTTGGTAATCAAAGCGGGTTTACACGCGAGGACTTCAACCGTTTTGTTCCGGCCTTTAAAAACCGCGGGGGCGACGACGAAAGCGCCGATACGTGCATGTAAAACCAGTTCCGCGCAATTTTTCTAAGGCCCCCTCGATTCGGTTTTCGAACACCTCAGATTTATTGGTGAAAATGTTGGAATTTCGACCGTTCGATCGAATTTAATCTCAACGGCCCAAAGAATTTCGCCTAAAAAAGTTGGAATTTGGAGCGTCCGAACCTTTTTTTCATCAACAGGCGAGATTGAACGCGAATTTCGATTAAGGGAGATTCACGCGACCTACAGAACTCGCGCTCGTTGATTCTACAGTCGACTCGACTCGCAGTAAGTCGACCAGCACCTAGAATTCAAATATTTTCATCGCACATCTTTCTGCAAATTGCCAAATGGAGGGAAATAGAGATAATTTCGTACGAAAAATCGTGGAGTTACGTGCTGAGCATACGTAGATAAGTGCGGCCCTCCGACGACTCGAAAAACTCCTTGCGAACCAGTCCGGAACCGCCACAGCAGCAACGAATGCAGCATCGATAGCAGCAGCAGCAGCAGCAGCAGCGGCGACACCAACAATTCTACCTGCGACAACGGCAGCAACTACAGTTAACCTCGAAGTAGTGAAGCCGAGGCTATCGGAGGCGTTCGATCCTACACTTAAACGGAACGACGTTCGTCGATTTGTAGCTGAACTCGAAATTCACTTCGAAGCCGTTGGACGCACGACTCCGACAAAAGACGCAATGCGCATATGGCTTGCAGCAACACTGTTACAACGCCATCCACCTCTCCTTACGGCGCACCGGTTCTCTTCACTCCAAAACCAGATGGCAGTTTACGGATGTGCATTGACTACCGCGTACTGAACAAACGGACCGTAAAAAACAAATATCCCATACCACGCATAGTCGACCTACCGGACCAACTGCGTGGTGCAACAGTCTTTTCGAAGCTGGACCTACGGTTGGGTTACTGGCAGATCAAGATGGCGGACAACTTGATCCACAAGACGGTGTTCCGTACCAGATACGGCTCCTACAAATACTTGGTGATGCCGTTCGGACTATGCAACGCACCAGCAACGTTTCAGGCGAAGGTGAGTACCTACGGCCCTTGTTAGACGAATGCATAGTGGTGTACCTGGACGACATTCTCATCTACTCCAAGAACATGAAGGAGCACGTGGAGCATCTGTAGAAACTCTTTGAGATCCTGCGGAAGAACAAGTTCTACGTGAAGTTGTCGAAGAGTGTTTTCGCCCCGAAGATGGTGCAGTTTCTCAGGCACATGGTGAGTGCCGAGGGCGTACACGTGGACCTGCGGAAGATCAAAGCCGTCAAGAAGTGGAAAGTTCCGGAGAACGTGAAGGAGTTGCAGCAGTTCCTAGGCTTCGCCAACTACTACAATAGAATCGTGCCGCAGAATGCTAAGATAGCAGCGCCTTTGACCAACCTACTGAAAAAGGATACGCCCTACAATTGGGATACTCAACAGCAAGCCATGGAGTAGCTACACACAGCACTGACTACAGCGACAGTACTCATCCTACCAGATCCAGACAGAGACTACATGGTGGAAGCAGACGCTAGTGACCAGGCAGTCGGAGCAGTACTGATGCAGGATCATGGACGCGGTTTGCAGCCCATCGCCTGCCTCAGTAAGAAGCTACACGGAGCAGAACTGAATTACCCCATCCATGACAAGGAAGCCTTAGCGATAGTCATAGCCTTCAAGGCGTGGAGGTGTTACCCAGAGGGAGCCAAGACTACAATTTATACCGACCACTTCAGTCTCAAATACCTGAAGTCACAGCCGACGCTCTCACGACGACAGGTGCGGTGGATGGACTTCATGGAAACTCACTTCCACTACGACATCGTCTACAAGCCCGGGCTACACAACAAGGCAGACGCGTTGAGCCACCCCGGACATGTAACAGTTATTGCTCACAACTTGCAAAGACAACATCAGCAACTAGGATACACAGTTACCGACGCTTAAATCGCTTACAACAACGCTTCGCATGCGGCCACAGGAAAAACTCCTTTCTTCCTGTGTTACGGACGGGAACCACTTACACCACAGCAGCCAACTACACCGGCACACGTCCAAGCCGCACACGACTTCGTCACCACCATGCAACAGCTATGGGAGAAAACTCAGCGACGTCTCACCACAATGCAGAACTCCCAGAAGCAGTATGCCGATCGCCAGCGACGAGATCACTCAGTAGCAGTCGGAGATCAGGTGCTTCTCGACACACGCAACTTGGACTTATCTCACCTTCCGTCCAAGCTCCGACCTCACTTCTGTGGTCCCTTTTGCGTTAAGGCACAGGTGACACCAGTAAC